GCTGGGACCTCAGCCGGGGCTGTCAGCTGTTGCTCTCATGTGTGACTTTTCTGTGAGTATGTGATGGCGGGGTTGTAAGGGGCGGGGGAGAGACAAGGTGGAAAAAAATGGCGCTTATATGACGTAATCTCGTTAGTGTTTCCTCTCTTCATTGTGCTCATATATTTAGTGCCGCTCTCTCTGTTGGCGTTGCACTCACTGGCCAAGTCGGCCAGAGGGTGACACAGACTGTACCGTTGAATGGAAAGAGTTCAGTGTCACATTGTAAGAATAACATGTGGGGTGTGTGTGTGTGTGTGTGTGTGTGTGTGTGCGCACTTTATTATGGTAACATAATGTTCATAAGTTGTAGTGAACATGCTCTATATTGTGGTGGTCATATCTAAAGATATAATGGACTTCATTTCTTTCCATATTCGCCCTCCTTTTCTTGGCCTCTTATTGGTCTGTTTGAATTGGTACAGGAGAGAGAACTTTTAGTGTGGCTTGTGCTCTTACATCATCTCTAAACCATTCGATACTGCTTTTGCCCCTGCAGACAGGCAATGACACTAATGTCCCCTGTCCCTAGACCACACACCCATGGGATTCCCTCTCTCTGAGGGGACATGGGAATGTGATGGCATTTTGAGCAGTGGTTAGGAAAGTGAAGGGTTTTATAATATAATTGAAGTCCTCATTTATTCTGGGTCAATCTAAAGGGAGGTTGTCCTGATTATGCCAGTTGGACAGAATGTAATTAGGCATGTTCTTTAGAGGTTTATTTATTTGTAAAATTTATGTAAGAACATGTGTACCTGCATATGTGTATGCCACGTGCATGCGGGTGCCTGTGGAGGCCAGAACACAGCATGGGATTCCCTGGAGCTTGAGTCCTCTGAGAGAGATGCAGCGCTCTTAACTGCTGAGCCATCTCGTCAGCTCCACAGGGAAGCCCTTCTGAAGAGGATTTGGGTCTTCCTTGAAGAAGACAGAATCCTGCCATTGTCTCTGAAGAAGTTACCCTACTGTAGGAGGGTCCCACAGCTGAAATATGAGTGTCCCTAGCTCCTGACAGTAACCCCTTCCAACAGCTAGCAAGGATATAGGGACCTCAGCCCTCCAAGTGCAAGACAGCAAATTCTGTCAGTAACTGAATGGATTTGGAGACATTCCAGATCAGAGGATAGCCCAGCCGACATTGGAGTTCAGCTTTGTGAGCTGCTCAGCAGGAACTCAGTTACTCAGTGGCCAGGGTCTTGATGCTCAGAAACTGCGAGGTAATGCATGTGTGATCCGAAGCCACCAAGTTCATAATAATGTGTTCTGTGGTGACAGAAATTAACACAAGTTGTGTCGTGGGCTCCGCTAGCAAGACAACTTCATTGTGTGGGTAACTGGAGAAATACAAGGCAGATCCTGTAGCTCTGTGTGCCGAGAGTCTGGGCTCACATAGCACTCCCGTCCACCCTCGTGGGTTACGGCACCCAGATGTAATCTCTTACCCCTGAAACCCTGTAGCTTTGTTTACCCTCTTTTGTGGGACTTCTCGTGTTGTACTTACATTTATCAATGTTGTGTCTTTCTTTCCTGACTAGATTGTAGGGTCCTCTGCGCAGAAATGATGACATACTTGTTTTTGTTTTGTGCTTGTTTTGACAGGAATTGACATAATTCTCTGCGTGTCACCATTTCAAAGGCAGGATTCCGACTTCCACTTGTTGAATAGGGAGTAGAACACTTTGTGTTGACAGTCAAGATGTGGTCTTCACGACTGTCTACATGGGCTTGGTTTGAAAGGTCAGAAGTAGCCAGGCATTCATTTCCCATTTGTAGCACCGAGAGTGGTCTTGTCTTCAGAGATTCTGATATGAAGCCTATGACTGTTGAGCGGTGGATTCTGGTTCCCTGGAATTCTCTGTCAAGACAGAATCACAGATTCAATTAATTTTTATGTTTATTCTGACTGGGACAGTGCTGCCTCTGGAATCAGAGCCTCGGCGATTGAGAGACCCGGATGGGATTTCCTCCTGGAGCACTGAGCACAGATCCGTCTTTAGAAATGAGTTCTTTCATTCCCTTTCTTTAGACAGTCTTGTGTAATCTCCTCCTCTCAACTTGCTGCGGTTATGGCCATGCACCATCCTGCCTGGCTTAGCTCCCCTATGGATTAAAATTTAGGACACTGAGCATGGAGGAGGCAGAAAGGTCAGAGAAGGGAATTAGCCATGTATTTAAGATGACAAGCCACTGGGGTGGGTGGGTAGAGAAGCAGAAGGCCTTTGGGTGGTTCTCTCAGGGGCTCCGGACATCCCTGGAAAGGCGTGTGGAGTTACACGTGAAGGCTTGTGCACCTCTGAGAGCTGTTTTGGGCAGCTTTGATCGTTACTAACAAAGCCATCACATCACCATAAAACCATCCTCAGCTTTTGTAAGAACAGAACTGTAGTGCCTGAATGATTCCTTTAGACTGAGTTATTAGTCAGGTCCACATTCATGTGCTTTGGGGGGGACACCAGCTGACTTGGGGGACACCAGCTGATCAGATTTGGTTTATTTTTTGGAAGCTTTTAGATCAGACTTTATATAAAACAAATGAATGGAAACACCAGGCATACACAGCCTTCAGGGATCTGCAGTTTTGCATATATTATCCCACTACACCAAGGGAGAGACAAAGCCACCTTTTCCTGACTTAAGCTGATGCAATGTTAATCCCAAAAATGGGAGGAGAAAGACCACTGATGCAAATCATCATGGCCAAATTAATTAAATCAAGCAGTTAGTTAAAGCAAGCTTTTTCATTTGTGTACACAGGCTGCCTCCCACCACCCCAAGGTGGGATTTGAGAGGTCAGCCTTGGAGGTGAGGAAGACAAGGGTTGTATAGCTCAGGAGTAGGGGGTTTTCAAATGGGGGACTTGGTGGGCAAAATAGGCTGGATTACAGGAGCAGAACATCATAACAAGTTAGTCCTAACAACCTCCTGAAATAAAGACAGGGTTGCAAAGTTGGCATAAAAGGTAGTCATAGCAACAGGCAGTCATGACAAGGTAGTCATAGGTGGTCAAATAACCTTTGGAAACAGAGATAGGTTTGCAAGATGGTTATAAACAACTTTTTGAAACAAAGACATAATTTCCATTCCTGGAACAGGCAGTACAGAACCATAGTAGTTAAGGTTACAGGTGGGGCACAGCCCAATCCTTGAGAGACAGAGGTTTAGTCATAGACTGGAATGAACCTAGTTTGTCTTTGCTGTAAGATGGCTTTTAAGCCTAAGATGGAAGCAGGCTGGTTCTTCATTAGGGACCCTGATTGTTAAGGCCTCAAATGTCATCTGCTTTGTTTAGAAATCAATAGTGCATGTCCAGACTTTGTTTGCCAAATCTCACAAGGCTCCAGACATCTGGAGCGAACAGATTGTGTCCTTGTTAGTTAGCATTAAGACAGTGTTAAAGCCCTCAGTCACAATTAGTCACACCAGCGATCCCTGGTTTGCTCTATAGTGTCCCTGTGATCATGAATGAAATTGGATGTGACAAGGTCCAGATTTTCTATTTCATTTGGAGGACCAGTAAACACTGAGGAATTCCAGGAATCTGAAGTCTATTTGTTGTATAGATTCTAGGCTGTTTCCTCAAGCTCACCCTGTATTTCCCCTTAACAGAAGCTTGCAAGTAAATGTAGCCCAGGCTGGACTTAAACTCAGGATTCCCCTGCAATAGAGTGTGTGTTCAGAGGCAGGATGGTAAGAAGTCAGCGAAAGAGCTCTGTGCTCCCTTCCCCACTATAACTGGAGGGGAAGGGTTAGAGGGGGGGCAGGGTAGAGATGGAGGAGTCAGAGCTCTGGGCTGAAATAGAGGTGGCTCATCTGCCATCTGCCCCCGCTTTTCTGGGAGAAGTCCCTAAAATCACCGATTTGTAATCTTAGATCTTAGTTCTAAGGAATCACCACCTCTCCAGTGGGGCCTAAAAATCTACTTTCAAACAATGGGTGATTTTGAGGCCCCTGTGGCTCATTGGTGTGGACCCTTGGAGACCCAAGACATTCATGTCAGAGAGCTGTGGGCAAAGTTGTGCCTGACAGTGTTAACACTATAGAAAACTGAAATTATGTATATAAAACTTGAGCAGTTTGGTTGCTTATAATGAATCTTGAAAACCACAGGTATAATTATGTAAAGAGTTCTGGACTAAGAGCCAGAGTCCTGTGTTCAAGTTCTGACATCAGCTTGTTCTGTGACCTTATGCAAATATGTCTGCTTTTGGGTCTGTTTCCTCTTCGGGAAGCAGGAGGGGGGGAGGGGGGGTTCTAAATAAGTGCTAACATTCCATCTAGCACTCATGCTCCAGTTCCCAGACCGTCCATGACACTGACCTGGGGCCATCAGGGAAGATCCCTGTGCAGCTGAAAGAGGACAGCGTGGGAGAAAGAATTGTATTTAGAATGTCAAAAGAAGTTAGGAGGAACTGTGTTTTATGAAGAATAGCAGAAACACAGGAGTCAGAAATGAATGGTCTTTAGATCAGCTTACTGTCCATCACCTTGCTAACAGCTTTCTTCATAGCTTCAGGCCACACACACTTTCTCCTCATGTGTCAGGGGATTTGATTCGGTCCTTTGAGAGAACAGATAGTTGTCTCCCTCTGATGTGTTTGAAGTGTGCTTTTCTAAGCTTTTGACAGTAAAATTCCTTGCAGCTTCACGGCTCATTGTTGGTGGTGCCCTGTGCACCCTGAGGATTGCAGTTAAGCCTAGAGAGGTCTTTATAAAGGTTCCTTTCATAGCTGAGCTGTAAGAGTTAGATTTTTTTTTTTCCATAAAAATGCGTTGGCCTCATCCATCTTAATCCTCTACTGGACTATTTCAGTGCCGGGTGCCCCGGTCCACATTCCTCTGAGGCATACCCTCTGGGCCTGCGGAGCAGGGCCTTAGGAGCTGGCAGAGGGGGCCTCATGCCCTCCCCACCCCGACTACACACTCACGTCTAATGCGTATTTACTTCAACTTCTCCTCAGCTGGGTCCCCAAGATGCCCATTGCCACTCCTGGCCTGAGGGGGAGGCATGAGGACAGCGGAGAGAGAGTGGTACCAGCCTTCTCTCAACACAGGTATGTGTCTATATTATACACGTGAGTGTCCGCATACGTTTTCCGTGGAGAACTGTGAGATGTGAATAGAATCCGGGGGCTGAATCGCGCTGTTCTTAAGCTCCCGTATTTAAGCCCTCGCCCTGACAGTCATGGTCTTTTGGAAACGGTCTCTTTGGAAGTGATTAGGATGAGATGAGGTCGTGAGTCCAGGGCCCCCGTGATGGCATCTGAGGAGGAAGAGACAGACCGGCTGTCTCTCCACAGCGTGAAGACAGTGAGAAAGTAGCTGTCTGGAAGGCAGGTGACTCCCTTGTGTTAGTTACTTGTTCTGATGCTGTGACAAAATATTCTGACAAAGCAACTTAAGGAAGGACCGGCTTTATTTGGCTCATAGCTCCAGGGCACAGTCCATCACGTCAGGGGAGGCAGAAGCCCGAGGGGCTGCTCATATTCATCAGCTGTCAGGGGACGCTGGCGCTGAGATAGCTTTCTCCACTTCCTGCCGTTCTGCCCCCCAGCCCAGGAAACGGCACTGCCCAAGTTCAGGAAGGATTTTCCTTTGTCAGTTAACCTGACCAAAATAATCCTTCACAGGACTATTGAAAATAAAGGTTGGATTAAAAAAAATCCTTCACAGACATGCTCAGAGGATGGTCTCTGTCACACTGAGTGGCCATCAGTATTAACCATGCATCTTTATTAGGAACTAAATCGTCCAGCCCTTGATCTGTGGACTTCCCAGCCTCTTGAACTGTGAGAAATGCATGTGGCTTGTTTAGGGTTATGGCAGCTCAGGCAGACTCACACACTTTCTCTACCGTGTGGATTGCTGTGGTTCCATTGCTAGAGCCCTTCCAGGGCCCTGGACCTTAAGCTCTGTTGACTTTAATCCGTCTCTCTCTGGTGCTGGAACTGACTCTAGAGCTGGCTGGGACAATCACAGGGATGAGACTCTTTCTCTGAGGCTGCGTGGTTTGAAAGGTTGGTGTAGCTATCTCCAGGGTGAAGTGCCATACCCATGGTGGTGGTACAGGGTTAGCCTGTGTTCCTTGTCCACCCATCGACTGCCAAGGAATCAGGAAGCTTGGTCACACCCGCCCAGATGGCCGAACTGATCTTCTCCAGCCTGTTATCCTGACCTCCTGTCCCAAGCCCCTGTGAATGGTTGGGTGGTCATCCCTCAAGAGTGTGTGTGTCGGGGTGTGTGTGTGTGTGTGTGTGTGTGTGTGTGTGTGTGTGTGTGCTAAGCTTTCCCTGAAAAGGGCTGAGAAACAGAAGTACTTCCTGTCACCCACTTCCGGCAAGGTCAGCAGAGGACCACAGAGAACAGGGCTGCCGTGGGATGTTAGAAATAGAGCAGCCAGGAGGCATAAACAAGGACACCAGCAGGAACTCACGAGCTTGAGCGGGAAGGATTGGGTGGCAAGCGTCCTGTTTGAGTGACTAGCCTTAAGAAGCTGGGAGACACCTGGGAATCTTCCAGATACTTCAGAGGATAGTTTATGTCCAGTGGAATGGGAATGAAAGTAGATTTTGAATTTGTTTTATAGGTGTGCGTGACCGTACATGCCTCCCAGGCCTGATTCATGGCTCCTGCATGTTTCCTCTAGGATAAAGTCCGAGCCTCCGGTGGCACAGTCTCCTGGTTCTACACCCTCTCTCTACCTCCATTGCTCAGCCACCAATTAGAGCCCACCCCACCCCCACCCGGGACTCCCAGCAGGCATCACTAGCTGGCCCTCTCAGGACCTTGCCCTTCCCTGCTTCTCTGTCTTTGCACAGGCTGCTAACTCGGCCTGCAACCTCCCCAGCTCCTCCCCAGCCCGGTGGCCTTGGAAAGTTCTGTTGATTCATCTCAAATGCACTCACTGTGTCCTCAGAGCTAATCCCTGACCCTGGACGAGGCAGTGCCCAGCACTCACTGTGCAGCCACCACTGGAGGAACCAGATGAGGCGGGAGGGCCCTCACCTCGGCTTGCCTAACAGCTCTTGGCTCTCCGGTCCTTCTGTGAGAGTGCCTCTCGGGTTTGTGCCGGGCTCCATCCTGTATGAGTTCCGGTGCGTGTGCACACAGTACATTTGCTGCATGAATAAATGTGTATGTGGCTGGTTAGGTGACTCGGTGGGTGGAAGCATTTGTGCGTTTGATCTCTAGAGCCCACCGTGGAAGAAAACTGACTCTCAAAGGTTGTTCCCTGACCTTCAAACTTGTGTTGTGACATACATACACACACACACACACACACACACACACACACACACACACACACACCCTCCCATACACCCCCCCACACAAACAATGGTAAATAAAAATTTAAACATTAAAAACAAATGTGCACGCACAGATCCCATGCATGAGACAGATACCCTGGAAGCAAAGAAATTGGTAAGAGAACGTTGGAGGCGCTGTCCAAGAAATGGTCACCAGACCAGTGATAGGGCTGCACTGTGACCCCAGCCCACAGGAGGGGTCTTAAACTCTATTGACTTTAATCTTTCTCAGGGATTAAACACACAGGGAGCTGGAGTTTGACATGACATCACCACAGCCCTTGAGGAAAGCCGTGGCCGTGTGTTTTGTGTCCTTCCCACTATGCCCACACTCATGGGTGATGTGTGGTTAGAACGGGGTTTCGGCCCCCGTGAAAGCAACTGTACCAGGTACTGAGGAAACCCTGCCTGGTTGTCTCACAGAGCTGAGCAGAAGCAGAGGGGCCTTCCCTCTACCCAGCTACCACAGGAAATCCAAAGCCACACTTAGGAGCTCCCATTCTCCTTAGCCATTGCACTCTCACCTGTTTTTTCTACCCCTTTGGTTGCCAGATTTGGGCTTCGTGCCTGGAAGCCCGGGCGACCCTTGGTTGTGACAGGGTCAAAGTACAGCATCCTTCTAGGGGAAGCAGCCTCGGGATTGTGCAGCTTTTCCTTCTGTTTCCGGTGACTCCCCGGTCCCTTGTTTTGAGATTGCTGACATCCATCTGTGTGTTGGGTCCCCAGGGGAGGTGTCTTTGGCCGTCGCATTTGTTGCTGAAGCCGTAGCACCTACGCTAGCTGCTGGAGAGGGACGCCTTATTGAATAGAAAGTGGACACGTGAAATGATGAGTGAACCATGAACTGTAAGAAGAGCGTCGACAATCCTTTGGCTGTTCCTCGTCACTCTGTGATCTGTGGTGACTTAAGTGGCCCTCTCTGAGCAGGGACTTCCCAGATGGGCTATTCCAACCTGCCCTGAGGATTCCAGGACAGCAGGACCAGGGACAGGGAGGGAGATGGGAGAGTTGCCAGAGGAGGGGCTGAAAGCTCTGTGGGATCCCTGTTGCCTAGTGAAGTTTCTCTGGCATCTGCCCTCTGGCCCGGGGCCAGTGCCCACCAAGTAGGAGGTTGGGTTGGGTTACAGTCAGGCCCACAGTCCAGAACAGGGGAGGGGCCTGTGTTTCAGGGTGGGGGCCCCAAGGCAGAGGTCCTCACGAGCTCTGTGGAACATCCGGTTTTGAAGGACTCCATTTAGAAATAGAAGAAAAGCTGGGGAAATAGGAGGGGTCTGGCAGGCTTCCCAGGAGAACGGCAAGTTCCAGCCGACTGGAGCTCCGGAAGAGGGAATTTGTGGGTTAGGATGGGGCATTGGAGCGAGCAGACATCTCGGCCACGGTTTCCCTGGCAAAGCTCTGCTCTGAACAGAGCATATTTCTGGAAACCAGGAGGGTTTTATCCTCCTGGGCTGTTGTGCACATAGCCAGCATTATATTTCCTGTGAACTCGGTCATATCGGTGTGTGTTTGTTTTCAAAACAGGAATGTTATAAGCTATTCGCAGTTCTGTCTGGGCATTCTCCGGAGTAACGGAGAAGTCAGCTCCTCCTCCGTGTTTGAGAGGTGGGAGCAGGCTTTCTCTGCTGTCTCCAGGACAGGCTGGGAACTCATTCTTCGGGACAGCTCCCTTTTAGCCCACCGGAGCCAGGGACCCAACAAGCGTCTAGGACAGCAGTTCTCAACCTGTGAGTCTCTACCCCTTGGGTGGCTAATGCCCCTTTCACAGGGTACGCATATCAGATATCCTGCATATCACATATTTACACAATGATTCATAACAGTAGCAAAATTACAGTTATAGGGATGAAAATAATTTTATGGTTTTGGAGGGAAGGGTCACCACAACCTGAGGAATTGTTGCAGCATTAGGAAGATTGAGAACCACTGTCCAGGAGCTTTTCAGGCTGTCAGGTGTCAGGATGTGGGTGTGCAACCACCCTGTTCTGCCTGATTGATGGGGAACTGAACTCAAGGGAGGAGACTCCAAGGGAGGACCCAGGTGACATTAAGGAGGAGGGAGAAATGGTTATGCATTTTTCACTGTGAAAAGGTCTAAAATTAACTTAATCCAAATAAGATTTAACATCAGTTGTAGCCTTTCTCTTTTTAGGACCCCAGCCACCAGCTAACCTACCCCAGACGGGATGGGAGAGGGAATCCTGGCATTTCACAGCTTTGACTTGAAACCCCCCTCACTTTGGCGCCCAGAACCGAGGGAGCAGGCCTGGAGACCCTGTAACAGGGAAAAGATGGGGGTCAAAGGGCACCTCCTCAGGTTTCAGAGGCTATTGGAGCATTGTAGGCTGGAGTGTGAGTGAGCATGGTTGGGAGAACTTGCCACATTCCATGGGAGAGTTGAGGATGTGTAACACCCATTGTTAATATCATAGAGCACCAGTCCTTCACGCCTTTTGTCTCAAGACTACTTTTCGTTTTTAAATATTAGTAAAGACCCCATATGACTTGTTCAGGTGAGTTTAACTGGTTGATATTTACCATATTAGCAGTTAAAATTATTAAAAAAATAATAAACTCATGCGTACTAATAAAAGTAATGTATTTATGAAAAAACCCATATTTTCCAAAACAAATAACAGGCGGAGCTTCCTGAGGAGAAGGGCAGTGTCTGGTGGAAGCCTCATGCCTGCCCTGCAGGACTGCTGGGATGCTGTATGCTCTGCTCTGCTGGGAAATTCCTGAGTTCTGTAGGGAGAGGATGGGGCTGAAAGAGACAACACTGCTGTGTATTAGCAAATAGCCTTGACTTCACAGGCCCTCCTGAGAGGCCTTTGACAGACCTGACCATGCTTGGGGGAGGACTGTGGAAGAACTTTGGAACTTGAAGCTAGAAAAGACATTGAGTGTTGAGAGCTCAGTGAGCTGTTCTGTAGGAGCTTGGAAGATAAGATTGTTGAGAGCCGTGCAGAAGACGGAGGCCTGGCTTGTGAAGTTTCAGAGGGAAGTAAAGACTCTACCTGGCCATTTCTGTGAAGAATCTGAGGTGTCTGGCCAGCTGGAGCTGAAGAATCAGCTGCGATTAACAAGAGAACAGAAACACTGAAGTAAAATCTTTGCTGTGCTGGGACTATGGATGCTGGTCAGCTGGAGCTGAAGAATCAGCCATGATTAAGAAGAGACCAGCATCATTGAGGTGGAGTCCTCTGGGAAGTCTTTCCTCAGGGTCAGCACACAGAAAATATGTTCCAGAAATGACAAAGATTGTACCTTATTCTGGCAACCAAACTTGGTAGCATAAGAGTCACCCAGGTATTGCTGGTTTTGAAGGCATGAAGGGGTCATGGAGAGCAGCTGAGGATTGGCACTGTGTAGCAGGGCTGGAGTCCCTGAAGAGAGCCCAGAAGAGACTGCCAGTGAAAGTGCAACCTAGTTGCAGCAAGAGATCCAAGCATGTTTGGAGACACCAGCACCATGGGATGACCACCAAGCAGCAGTGGAGTGGAGCCAGCCAAAGCCTAAAAGACAAGCTGGTCGTGTTGCAGAGGGCAGAGTTGGAGAAGTGACCCAAGCCCTTTGGAGGAGCCCAGAAGATCGTGAGTGAATCCCAGATGATTGGACATTGAATTATTTATACTGTTGGAGTTTGGTTTTGCTTTGTTTAGTCTGCACTGGCACTTTCCTCTTGAAGTAAGAAAGTATTTTATTTATTTTTGATTTGACAGGAGTGAACAGTTGAGAGACTTTGAATTTTAAAAGACTTTGGATTTTAAGAGACTGCCTCTTTTAAAGAGACTGAATTTGAAGTGTTTGATTTTTAAAGACGGGGAACTTTTAAAAATTGGAATGTTTCTATTGTAAGGTTGATGTTAGTTTGTGATCTTGGGGAAGAACAAGAAAGGAAAGGTTATGACTTAACAGTGATGTGATTATGTGTCAAGTTGACAAGGGGTCAATTGTGCTAGTTTTATAAAACATAAAGGTTTTATGTCACCTTGACACAAGCTAGAGTTATCTGAAAGGAGGGACCCTCAAATGAGAAGATGTCTCCTTAAGTTCTGACTATAGGGCATTTTCTTAATTAGTGATTGATAGAGGAGGGCCCAGCCCTTTGTGGGTGGTGCCATCCCTGGGTTGGTAGTTTGGGGTTCTATAAAAATTCATAGACTAAGCAAGTCATAATGAGCAAGCCAGTAAGCAGCACCCCTCCATGGTCTCTGCATCAGCTCCCGCCTTCAGGTTCTTCTCCTGTTTGAGTTCCTGTCCTGACTTTCTCTGGTTATAAACAGCAATGTGGAAATGTTTTGCTCCCCAACTTGCTTTTTGGTCATGGTGTTTCGTTGCAGCAATAGTAAACCCGAGTAAGATAACCCTTGGACAATACTTTGAGAACTGCTATTCTGCGAGAGAGATACAAATAAACAAACAAACCAAAACCAAAACCGCATCTCCACTCCAGCAGATAAATGTGTAAAATGTCTATTATATTATCTCAGGTTCAAGTTCTACAGAGAAAGAGGAGGGAAAGGAGGGAAAGAGGAAAGTTAAATGTCTAATTGTTAGGGAGTCCTACTCGGGAATTCTTTTTCAAGATGATGGAGGATATCAAATTACTGTGACATTAGAAATGTATTGAGATACACTCCAAAGAGTGGGGTGTAGGTCAATTGAAATGTTTAGCCATCCCCCCACCCCCCATGCTTAACCACTACTTCCCCACTCTTTGGAATTTAACCTTCGACATCTATTTAACGGGCACGTGAACAATCTTAACCACCAACATAGCATTCTGTGGTTCAAGATTCTTTTAAAGCTATGTAAATAAAAACCCTTAAAGAGCCCTGAGCTAGATGGCATTTACTGTTTCTTCAAGCTCCATGGACTTTGAGGGGTCTGTTCTAGGGTGGGTACCATACCTAGCAGGACACTAAAGGTAAAGGTCCATTTAATACTAGGTGTCTCTACAAATTAGATATAAAAGGATAAAGCAAAAACACATCCCCATCTCTCTTTCTTACATGCTCATGAGTACACACACACACACACACACACACACACACACACACACACACACACATTCCCTCAGCAGACTCCCGTTCTTATAGCATGGATTCTGGTGCAGGGAGTTTCTGAATGATGCTGTAGGGAACCGTGAACTGGGTTAGCAGCATGGAATGGTCTGGCCACTGGGAATCCTCCAGAGGTGGGGTGACCTTAAAGAGGATTCTTAAAAACCAAAACTTCCATGGTGCAAACCCTCTTGGCCTAGGCAGTCCTGGCAGGGGTGTTACTTGTCCAAAAGTCTTGGTGGAAATCAGTTACAGGGACCAAGTTTCCCATCTGTGTACAGACCTGGGCCAGTGTACCCAGGATGGCAAAATGACTCACTCAGAATGAAGGATCCCAGAGGGAGCAGACTCTGGGAGTCAGGGGTGATACTTCCTGAGATTCTCCGCCATTGCCACCCGCTCCCCCCCCACCCCCTGCCGCCCCCGAGATGTGCAGATGAGTGAACCTTGGCAGTGAGTGAACCTGAGCCTATGGTCTCTGTTCTGTTGCGCAATGTATGGTGAGCCCCACTTCTTTACAGTCCTCACTTGAGGGCCTCTTCTGACATCACCCAGCTCCTGCTGTCAGGAATAGCTTGGTAGTTTTCAGTCAGCGAAAGATGGCAAGAGGGACAGAAGCGACTGAGGAGGCAGGTATCTGAATGACTTGAAGCTACCCCAGCCAACAACCCACTTGTGTGCTGGAGAGTGGGAAAACATTCCCATGGCCTCATGAGAGGGGCTCTCACAAAGGAGAGCACTGAGAATTGAGAGGGCTGGCTCCAAGCCTGCCATCTTGGCAAAGATGGAGGAAAGAGCATGTGTCATGTAGACACCGGGGTTCTGGCTTGGAAGCCCTGAGTCAGTCTTCATTTGATGAGGGCCAGGCCCCCTCTCCTAAGGGCTTCCATCTGTATCTGGGCCTCACCCAGGTCAGGCGAGGGGGTGGGGCTGTTGTTCAGCATCATCCTTGGACCAGGTCCCTGGAAGTGGCAGTGTGACCATTTCAAAGGCTGGCATCGGGCATTTATCAGCTGGTTTTTGTGCAAAGCCTAGGCTGAGGTTGCACAAGAGAACATAAAAAATACCAGGGAATCCAAAATGCCTTTCTTTAACTAGGGTTCGGAATGTAGGCGGGGCGCTTATGTTTCCCCTTGGCCTCACTGAAGGAAAGGACAAATCTTAGCCCAGAGTAGGAGAAATACCTCCTGTGGGAAAATGGGGAACTTGAGAGACTCCAAGAGACTGGGTGCAGAGATGGAGTGTGCGTTCTGTCTTCTCTTTGGCATCTCCAAAGGCATTTAGAGCCTGTTGGCATGCCACAAAGTGTCAGGCAAGCTGATGAAGGGCCCACAGTATTGATGGCCACCACAGGGGAATGTAGAGAGTTTACTCAGCAGTGAAAGACGGGGGTGTATTCACACACTTAGCAACATTAAATCCCTGATGAAAATCTATAAAAAAAAAAAAAATCCTCAATCTTTATTTTAATACAGCTCTCATGACCCTTAGCTTCATGGTTGAACATTGCCAGAGTTTGACCCCATTATAAAATCTGTGTGCAATTTCTGTCTCCTAAGAGACAAATTCCTCTGGGCTTCCTTAGAGACCAACTCCCTGGAATCTGCTTCACAGCCAGTGGCTGGCGACTCAGCCTTGAGAACTACTGAACTTGAGGTGGACCCTCAACACTGATGTCTCTTTAGCCCCAGACCAAGCCAGCTTTGAAGTTATTCCCTAACTCTCTGCTGGGGACTGGCTGTGTGCTGTCACCGTCCTGTGAGGTCGGCGGTCACAGACTGTGAAGTCGGCCGTGTTAGGTGTCTCTAGAGGCTGTAATAAATAGAATCCCAATGACAGTTCATGTCAGAGACCCCTCACCATCAGACCACAGTACAACATCAGATTGCTAGTCAGCAAAGGGCTTTTGTCCTTCGATAATTTGTTATATGCTACTTTTATGGCAAATGACAAATGCTATGCTAATGTGGTCCCTTCATCCTACAGCCTAGAGTCTCCGCAGCTGACTGGAAGGTATGGAGAAGCTGAGATATCTTCTCATTCTTCTTCAATGTATACAAATACACGTAGCACTTGTCACTTTAACATTTTTAAGGAACATTAAATATGTTGACATTGTTTCATGTTTCTAACTAGAATTGTACCCATTAAACACTAACTCCCCACTCCCCCTTCCACAATCTGTCCCTTTGAGTTTGACCGTTCTGGCTCCTTATACAAACTGCACAGCATCTGCCCGTTTGTTACTGGCCTACTTCACTTAGCACACTGTCTTCAAGGCTTATCTGTGTTGTAGCATGTGTTCGCATTCTTTGCTTATCCATTCAGTGACTGAAAGACACCAGGGTCACCTCTGCCTTTCAGCTAGTCACACCCTCTTCTTAACCATCTTAGCCTGCAAGTGACTTCTTTCTGATCACATCTCCCAGGTGAACATATTGCGCAACCCCGCCTACATTCAAGGGGACCAGGAAATGCAGTCAGTCTGCAGCTGGTCGGGCAGCCATTTCTCAGAACCAACTCAGCCTGTGGAGGGTGAGGCAGTTTGTTGGTAGATAATGAACGGGCTTTTCAGTCCACACCTTCACCTTTGTACTTCCTGAAGCAGCTACTCCTGCTGGTCCAGGAGGAGAAATCATTTCCCAGGCTCAGTCCTAAGACAACAAAGACTCTGAGGTGTGAATGTACTTTAAATAAATAGTAACACGGGCATTTGTGCTGTCTTCAGCAGTTTTCAGTGTCGTTTTCATTTGCTACACAGGTTCAAGTTTTGTCTTTCATGTCTCATAGGGTGATATTTGTAGAGCCCTTGGCTCCCCAGTAAATTCAGTAATTAGTATTTATTGATTTTCATGGCAACATGAGGTATGTATTATTTCTTTATTTGTATATCTATTTTGCTTTAGAGAGAATTAAATAAATTTCTCAGTTCCCCAGATCATAAGTGGCAACTCCATTTCCCCATCACTGATGTCCTTCAAACGTGAAGTTCTCAAGCCAGCTGCTGTTTGATCCATCTCTTTCCACTCGAGGAAGTGGACATGAGCTGAGCCCCACTGGGAAGAGAGAACAGTCTTGTCACTCAGCTTGCCCTTTATTTGTCCCCCCAGGGAACGTCATCCACTGCTCCTGCCACTTCCCAGCATCATTCCTGGAGTCCCCTCCTGTGTTTCAGGTCCTGGAGATGGACAAGAAATCAGAAAGCATTCCTTTCCTCCAAAGTGTGCAGCAGCCAACCAGCAAAATGGCCATGTGGACCCAGAGCCCTCATACAATACGATGGGCCGTATAAAGCGACCTACGAAGTGCTGTGGGATTTGGATGATAGGCGATTAGTTTTGCCTGACATGTGGCAAATAATGGTAAGAGGTGACAACTGGCTTAAGGTGATGGCTCGGTGGTTAAGCGTGCCGAAAACCTGACTTCAAACCTCCAGCGCCTACATAAAAGCAGGGCATGGCTGCGTGCATGCCTGCAACGTGTGCTGTGCATGGGAGGGTGGAGACAGAGGATCACTGGGGCTCCCTGGCCACCAGCATGTCTCTAGGTTCAGAGAGAGACCTCAAGGAAGTAAGGAAGAGAGTGACAGAGGAGGACACTCAGTGTCCTCTGGCCTGTGTGTGTACTCACGAGTGCACACACCTTTAAGCAGATATGTGCGTATACCGCATGCACATACCATATACCTATACCATATGCACACAGCACACATAAACTCTCCCATACAACATATATTATAAATAATGAGTTAAATAAATTATTTAAAAGGTGACAACAGAGCTAGATGTAGATGGCTAGGAAATATTGGGAAGATCTGTTTCAGATAGAAAAAACAAACACGCCCTTAGCAATCTGGAAGAGTGCAGGTGTTTGAGGATAAAGGGCAGGTACAGCAGGGATGAAGTACAGTTGAAGAGAGGAGATGTGCACAGAGACACGAGAGGGAGCTGGTGTGGAGCAGGGGAAGAGCCGTGATTCTGCTGATGAGGTAGGGAGCAGGCTGTCTTTTACAATGTTTCCTCTGGCTGTGGTGCTAAACCAGCTCATTTCATTCCAGCCCTATTCATTTCTAGAGGACAGGGCCACTCCTGTCGTGCTGGGGTACCCCCCCCCCTCCCTGGCATACCACATTGTAGGAGCACTGGAAGTAGAGCGAAGGGCACCTGGAGATACTTATTCTCCCACAGTGACTCTCCCTGCCGATAAGGAAGACTTCCTGATAGACCTTCCTTTTGACTAATAGACTAAGCCAGCCCTGAGTTGAGTGTCTTGAAGCTGAGGTCTCTAATGACACCTGCAAGGACAGAATTGAAGCTTGGAGACACCAGGACCACTGTGGTTTGTCCCTTGTCCCATAGTGCCAGTGTGCAAGAGACAGGGAGAGACAGAGGTGCTTGTTAGCAGAAGGTGTCACCTACCACAGGTCCTCCCAGACACTGCGCTCCCATGATACCTGCGTCTTTATGGCTCTGACAGTAGAGCATGATGCCAAGACTTGTGTTTCTAAGTAATCGACAAATGGAGGCCAAAGCCAAAGGCCTTCTGGATTGACAGTGGATGTGTGTCAGGAAATTGAAGCCTGAAGACAGCAGCTGTGCTGCCCAAGATGCCACGGGCCGCAGCGCTTCCTCTCAGACCTGCGTGGGAAACTCTGTCTTCCTGTGGACAGGGCCCACCTGGGGTAGAAGCCCCACTCTTTTCTGTGACCTTGGGAGGGATTAACCTCTCTGAGCATCAGCTCTATAGTGTGAAAAGTGCCTCGTGCATAGTGCTCAT